TTCTCTCTCTCTCCCTCCGTCTCTGTCTCTTTCTCCCCCCTCTCTCTCCCTCTCTCTCTTTACCACAAGAACAACAAATCACAGTTCACAAAATGAAATTCAATACATCGTACCAGCGTCCGTGAAGCCGTGCCCCCAGCCCGCCACGTGTTGGAAGAAGCCCAGGCCTCCGAGGGAGGTGGTGAAGGGCGTCCCCGCCGTCCCCACTCCAGCTAGGAAGAACGCGGACCCCAGCACTCCGTACGCGTACTTAGGCAGGAAGTCAAGCAAGATTCCACCGGTCACGGACGACAGGAAATACCTGTAGTAGACGTAGTAGTAGTAGTTACTGTAGTTAGTAGTTACTGTAGAAGTAGTAGTAGTTACTGTAGTAGTAGTATAGTAGTAGTAGTAGTTACTGTAGTGTAGTAGTAGTTACTGTAGTATCAGTAGTAGTGGTAGTAGGAGTACTTGTAGTAGCAGTAGTAGTAGTAGTGGTGGTGGTGGTGGTGGTGGTGGTGTTAGTAGTAGTAGTAGTAGTAGTAGTAGTAGTAGTAGCAACAGCAGCAGTAGTAGTAGTAGTAGTAGTGGTGGTGGTGTTAGTAGTAGTAGTAGTAGTAGTAGTAGTAGTAGCAACAGCAGCAGTAGTAGTAGTAGTAGTGGTAGTAGTAGTAGTGGTGGTGGTGGTGGTGGTTGTAGTAGAAGTGGTAGTAGTAGTAGCAGCAGCAGCAGCAGTAGTAGTAAAAGTAGTAGTAACAGCAGCAGAAGTAGCAGAAGTAGTAGTAGTTACTGTAGTAACAGTAAGTAGCAGTAGCAGCAGTAATAGTAGCAGCAGCAGCAGAAGTAGTAGCAGTAGTAGCAGCAGCACCAGTTACCTGTTATGTCAAACCTTCCACAATAAATAAAAGTTAAACAACAGTTAAATGTGACCAATATACAAGGGACTAAGATAACACAGTGTTAGCCCAACCCAGTACATGTACGTACCCCACGGTGTGAGACACGAGAACTCGCGAGATTTCCTCGTAGTTGACTCTGAGTCTCTCTTTCAGGTCGATCATCGTGGGACCCACGATTCGGACATACAGGCCCTGAAATACATTCCAAAGAAAAGATTTTCGCAATTGTTGATGAATGATAAACATCCAGGTAGTGAGATACTTAAAGGTACTATGTAACAGTTACTGAAGCTAATACAGGTCACTACAGGTTTGACTGTATATCGATGGCCAGGTGGTCCTTATGTAGAGGTGGTCACGTATAGGTTTGACTGTATATTAATGGTCAGGTGGTCCTTATGTAGAGGTGGTCACTTGTACCGGTTTGACCTATATATAGATGGCCAAGTGGTCTCGAAATTGGGTTGTTTCTAGTTTACACAGTTCCGCTTTACCTCAACCTTCAAGCAAATTTTCTTGTGACTAAGAACAAAATTGTACCTACCACGGATCTACGAATTAGCCTTAGAAGGTCTGCTTTTAGATTACTTTACTCTTCATGCATGTTCTGTAGCCTAGCTTGTTAGGCTGAGAACTTATAGGGCTGTGTGTGAGAGGGGCGTTACCTCCATAGCATGTCAAAAACTGTGGGTTTTGGTGGGTCTTCAGGGTCTTTGGGAGCTTTTATGTGCTTTTTTCTGATTGCATACAGACAACATAGCCGGTCTGGTTGAATTACCCAAGTTTTTAGAACTGGGCTAATCAGAAAACAGCCGAAGACCACCAAACCCCCAGTTCTATAAGCCTGCTACGGAGGCTAATCAGAAAACAGCCGAAGACCACCAAACCCCCAGTTCTATAAGCCTTCTACGGAGGCTAATCAGAAAACAGCCGAAGACCACCAAACCCCCAGTTCTATAAGCCTACTACGGAAGCTAAGGATTAACGCGCTAAAAGAACATGAATACAACCGAGGTACACAATAGTGTAGTGTAAAAAGGTTAAAGTTTTTCCACGGAGTAGCGGCAGGTGGCTGGCAATCTTTTATCCCCTGAACCGAAGCCAGGTACCCGTTTTACACCTGGGTGGAGTGGGGAAAGCCGAACGCAAAGTCCCAAAGCACTTTCTAAAGGCAAAAATGCAAGGAAGAATCGAACCCGTGACCACTTGATTAGGTGTCCGCTCCCCATAGCCTCTTGGGTTAGGTAAAATATGTAGTTGTGTATACGAGAAAAAAAGTAGCCTGACCGGTTCGGGTCCCAAGGGAAGTCCATTAAGCCTGACTTTACATGTCTGAATGCTCGTGAAACCCAGCTCTTTGTTTCGTTGAGTACAGGTAGCCTCTAGGTAACCTCCAAGCAGATGTTTAGGTGGCGCAAAAGAAAATATCAAATTGGCCGGGCAGTATCCATTGGCCATACTGTAAGCATTAGGGTGGCTAATGGTTATGGATATGGCCAATTTGATACTGTCTTTTGCGCCACCTAAACATTTGCTTGGATATTAGTCTCTAGTAGGCTTCGGGATGCAGCTGGAAGAGTAGAAACTGGCCACTAGTAGAGAGATTACATGCCAGGGAAGTTGGTCCTAATGCCACACACTGTACTCCCCTGGCATGTTATCTCTCTACTTGGCCAATTTTTACTCTTTCCGGTCGCCTCCTGAAGCCTGGTAGAGGCTAGGGCCCAACCCGGGAGTACGGCTCTGCTTCTCCACCCTTGCCCCGAATCCTGGTAGAGGCTAGGGCCCATGCACTCTGGGCCTCCCAAAGCCTGGTAGAGGCTAGGGCCCACCCCGGCCTCGGTCCTCCACCCGTGTCGCCGGTTCCGGGTCACCCGGCCGGCTCTGTGTGGACCCGCGGTTCTTGCGTGACGAAATTCGCACGCTCAGGCGCTTCGCCGGGAAGGATTTGCCTTGCAAATTAGGCGAGTCCGGCGTCTCACCAAAACACGGGCTCCCCTGGTCTGTTTGAGCCACTCCAACCGTTTTACTCACAGAACTGTTACTACGGTGTCTTGCAAGACGTTGCTGAACGTCCACACTTCGTCTTAAAGACTTCCAATTAGATTACAAGACGTTTGTGGACTGGGAGGTGTCGCGATACTACCACCAGAAACTATAGCGGAAATGTGAAGGTAAAACTCAGGTAGGTTTGCTTCCGTTTGTTCCTATCTAACTCTTGAAAGAACTAGAAAGATTTGTGTAGTTTCAACGTTTCATACGGTACTAAAGAAATAGGCTTTCCCTGCTATAGGGTGCGTATAGGAAAAAAACTGTGTGTGTGTATGTGGGTAGGTATTTAAATTGTGTGGCGGACGCTTTATTGTGGTAAAACTCTGGTCGGTTTGCTTACATCTGTTCTTCTGTAACGCTTGGTCGACCTGGTAAGATTTGCAAACGGTTAACCTTTCATACGGTAATATAGGGGTGATCTCTTCCTGATACGTGGTTTGGTGTGTACAGTAGTGTGTGCATCGGTAGGTTGTTCGCCGACGTTTATTTTTTCACGAGTCCTGTCAAACGCCATGTTCACTTTGGAAAGGGTTCTTTGTAAGAACAAAGAGACGTTTGAAACTTGACACTTGAGATCGCAAATCGCATGAAGAGGTTCCACAGGTGACAAGGTCACATACCTGTACACAAGTTCCTTCAGGTGTGGTCAAGACATGGCTGACTGTTCAAGTAGTCTAGGAGTGAATTCCCAGTTTGACTTTTACGAGTACGTAATTTATAATCAACGGCCTTCTACAAAAATTAGAAAGTGTAGGAAGGGTGCTGTTAAAAAAACAACAACATTGGTTTAATTTCTAGCCATAGTTGAAACTCTTTATTTCGTTCCTGATCTGGTATGTTCAAGACATGGCTGACTGTTCAAGTAGTCTGGGAGAGAATTCCCAGTAGGTTTTACGTTATTTGCAAGTAACGACCCTCTAGAAAGACAGAAAATGTGTGAAGGGCGGTCAAAAACAACAACATCGGTCTAATTTCTAACCCTAATGGAAACCCTTTATTTAGTAGTTACCTATAGGTAGCAAACCATGGGAGAACTAGAGGCAGAAAAGATAACATTCTTAACGGAAAAAATTACTAAAGATAGGTAAATGGAGAAACATTTGAGGAGATATGGCCGAGTAACGACAGACACTATAATAGGGGATTTACATGCTTCAGTTCATTTGCCCCAGGGGAGGTGAGTCATTTGTCGTTAAATACACCCTTTTAGCAGAGAGAGAATTTCATTGACACAACAAAAGTACAGCGACTTTCGTAAGGCCAGATACTACATGTAAATATACAGACAGATACATAGGCACAAAAAAATTGACCCACGTACAAAACAATGGATGAATCAACTTATACTATTTGTTCTAAGGTCTAAACATTCTTTGATATATTTACCTATTTGTACACAGCAAGGGCTGTCCATGCCCGTAGCCAGGATTTTTAATGAGGCGGTTCTTCCCACTGTCTATTAAAGGGACCAGCGAAATTTTACAAATTAAACCTTCTGAATGGCATTTCCTGCGTTTTTGAGAGGATTTCAAAGGAAAAATCAGACATAACTTTAAATTCCATGACAGAGTGAGCAGATCTTCTAGGATTCCAGTTTTAATTTAGTTCATGTTTTAAAGAAAAATCTTTAGATAAAAGGTAGAACTTTGAGTTTGAGCCTTGTGTGTGTGTTGGAAGGGGGGGGGGGCTCATGGCTACGGGCATGATGTGACACCTTTTTATAACATGGTGGCCAAGGCAAACAAACTTCACGTTAGTTGAAAATACTATTGTTAATTCTGCTTTTGTTTTGAAACTTAACATCAGCAGATGATCACCATTTTGAGTCTGTAAAGATTGAGTACAGTAGGCGGATATGGAATTCGCCTTTCTATAGTCACGGTGTCGTCTCGACGTCAAGTTTAAATTATCTTCTATAGCTTCAAGAGCTGTAGTCAATTTTCAAGTGCACTTAAAGAACAGCGCCATGTACTCAACGGCTCAAACATATTGTCGTGGCTATGACGACGCCAACCATAAATAAGAATCTACGACACTTTTCCACCACCACAAGACAATCGGGTACTGTGCGACTGCTACAGACGTGTTCTCAGTTTGCTGTTGTGAATATATTGTACTAGCCTCTACCAGGCTTCGGGAGGCGGCTGGAAAGAGTAGAAATCGGCCAAATAGAGAGATAACATGCCACGGGTGCGGCAAAATGTTCTCTCCCAGCAGACAAACTCCCCTGGCATGTTACCTCTCTATTTGGCCGATTTCTACTCTTTCCAGCCGCCTCCCGAAGCCTGGTAGAGGCTAGTATTGTACCACGTGTGAAACAAAACTCTTGCTAACTGAAGACGATCGACGAAAAGACATGAGCTAACTAAGAACGTTTGGGGCAAAACAATATCTCCCAAGTTCAACCGAAATTAGCGTTATGCTATCTTTATTGTATATTCACGCCCTACATGGGCCAAATGCACTAAGTTAAATAACTTGGGTACAAGAATAGAAGAAGCAATTGTTAAATATTTGTGCTACGTCTCTATCTACAGTATCTAACTACAGGAACAAGACCCCCCCCCCTGGCTATGGGTTCTGTTGGTACATTCCAAAGTGATGATTTAAACCCAGTAATCCTGAACACCTGGTGACGGAAAGAACTATTAAAAGCTTATTGTCGTCCTTCAAGGGAAGCACGTTTACTAGGAAACTGTGGGACATCCGTTCAGCTTTGTTGACGACTCTTAGTAATACAAATAGATCAATAAACAACAACAGCTTCTTTCCCCGGTCTGCAAAATTATGGAACTCTCTTCCAAACAGTTGCTTTCCGTCCGACTACAATCCACAAAGCTTCAAAACAAAGGTCCACCGCCATCTCCTGACATAACTACAATATGCTGGCTTTAGTACCCCTAGCTCTATGCCTAGAAGTGGCCAAAAATAATTGGCCTTGCATTGAGTGACACCGTTAAAAAATGACATGCAACTAGATAGAACTAGAAGTTATCCAGATGCTTGATAACTTAGTTGATAATGTAAATGTTTCAAATGGATGCCTAACCTTCACCGACGTAAATAGTCAACTATAAAGTACTAAATAGGGAGACAAAGTGAATATCAAAAGTAATATGCTAACATAAGGAGTATGTAATATAACAATCAGGTGGGGAAAATTATGGTTTGTAGTATCTTTCCAATGCAGTGTTGTATCATTGATGTATCTTTTTGTGCATTTTAATAGTTGTGACATGTCGTTGTTGTTCGTCCATTTCGTTGTAGGAACACTGACGTTACCTTGTATTCAACACCTCAAAAATGCCACTGTACTTTTGTCGCGTCAGTTTTTAAATTACAAGTAAACAGTTTCATACTTTAAGGATGGTCCTGCTGGCATTCTTTACACAATATCTTCCAATAAGTCCATGTCTTAATTAGGTCATAGACCCCTAAGTTCTTTTTGCCCTGCGGTGGCATAGTTACTTCCGCATTCGTTGCGTTTCGCTGCGCTGTTTTGCGTTGCACGAGAAATACCCCCAAACCGTACCTATACTCAGTGCTATATAGATGGTACTGTATGTGCAAAACAACAATTGTTGTACTCCGCAGGACAAGGGTTTTAAGGAAAGAGTTAAGAATGACGGCATACGCTGTAAATATCCGCGGCATGTATGTGCTTGCATGTAGTCGACACGGTCGGTAGAAAGAAAACATCACGCACCACAAGCTCTGAAACGAAATCCCTAAAACCCTCAGTAGGAGTTGTAGGGGCGGCAGTACAAAGGCTTTCCCACTGCCCACTTGTTATTTTTACCTGTCTTACTTAAGTCCCCTTTTCACTGAGGTCTGGCAACCATGGAGCGACCCAACTTTTCAATATTTAGTTAAAACGACTTTCATTTATAGAGACATGTATTTTGTAAGTTATGTGCGTGTCATTTAAGTTACATATATACTATAATAGTCGTTGTCCATAGTGTAAATGGATTCAATGGTGAAATCTAATGTCATACAAAGTTAACCTTAGTCAATCAAATGTTGTTCAACAGTTTCCATGGGGGGGGGGGCACTGTTAGGGTAGGTCTCCTTTCCACTAGACGACGATCGCTAAGCGGCCGGAACTAAGTTGAGAGTTTTAAAGTCACTTAGTGGATATTAAATTGCGTCTTAAATCTCATAAGTCAAATATGATGCATGGTGTAAAAGTCTGGTGTGATAGAAGACAACAAATGCACACAACAAAGTCTACTGAGGAAGACCAGACTGACTGGTCGAAAGCTCTTTCTTGTGTTGGACCAAAAATTTTAACTCTAAGCCTGTAACTACCAACACGGAACTTTCATGATAACAAAACAAAATCGTTCATTATCTATGAAATTTGTTAAGTGATCTGTAAAATTATTAGTCGCTCAGCGGTCGCAGCCTCTACTGAAAACGTGGGTGTAGAAAACCGTGTGTGGAGGATTGACCTGTCTGCATTTGACTTTGCCATGCGCCAGTGGTCCGTCCTGACGTCGTGACTTGGAGTCGTGACACGCTTAGAACAAACCCCACTGTGTTTACAAGTTCTCAGGTTCAGATAGTCTGCAAGCAGGCTTCTTGGGTGGGTCTTTTGGTTGGCTTATGTTGTGGTGCTTTCTGATTATGTGCCGGTTCGGCCTGTAAAATTGTATTACAATTTTAGCTGGGCAACTGTACGAAACCATGTGCAATCCGAACTGATATCATGATTTACAGCGCATGTTAATTTATACAATACCCTCCCAAGTGGCCTGCTAGGAGGCTATCTGTCCATGAGGACCTGTGTACACAGTGCGGTGTGTTCTCAGGCTAAGTGTCGCCACTCAAGTGGCCTGCTAGGAGGCTACCTGTCCCTAAGGACCTGTATGCACAGTACGGTGTGTTCTTAGGCAGAGCTTGTCGCCACCCAAGAGGTCTGATAGGAGGTTATCTGTCCCTGAATACCTGTGTACACAGTACGGTGTGTTCTCAGGCTGACCTTGTCGCGACTCAAGAGGCCTGCTAGGAGGCTATCTGTACCTGGGGACCTGTGTACACAGTACGGTGTGTCCTCCCAACAAGCCTGCTAGCTAGGAGGCTATCTGTCCCTGGGAACTTGGGCCACGGCAAGTAATTTTTATGGATGACATCAGCGCGCGCATTAATTTTCGCCTGATGGAAAAAAAACAAGGGAAGGTGGATGGCAGAGAATAGGCAAGAAAAGGCTGTTTTGTTCCTTACTCTGATGCAGTGATATGCGATGATGGCTGTGTATATGTGATGTTCCCACTAAACCATTTGTACAATGATTGAGTCAAAATGTAATCATGTGGGAACCTTGTTTTTTTCCGCCCGCTCGCACTAGATCGTCTTCGGAGGATGTCATCCATAAAATTTACATGCTATGGCCTTGTGTACACAGTACGGTGCGTTCTCAGACTGAGCGTGTCGCAAATGCATGTCACGACGACAGAGCGGATTTGTGACTCACTGGAGCTTGACACTCAAATCAGGTCAAACATGTACACAAACATCTCGTTACTTCCTCTGTCAATTTCGGTCACTCATCAGACAGTGGTCTGTTCACTGGTGAAAACAGTTTCATAGATATATAATTGTATTTTTTCTAGCTTCTACCAGGCTTCGGGAGGCAACTGGAAAGAGTACAAATTAGCCAATTAGAGAGATACATGCCGGGGGAGCGTGTCACGACTCCATGTCACGACGACAGGACGGATTTTTAAGTCCTACACATTTGGTGCCCTACGCAGGAAAGCCTACCCAAGCGTGTTTGTGGTATAAAGTCTACGCATCACGCCCCCCTCACGCACACACACACACACACACACACACACACACACACACACACATACATACACACGTAGATCTGTATCTGACATGTGTTTTGTCATCCTTTCTTTCAGGAGCAGAATGGCCTCTACCTGAAGGAAAGGAACTGACTCTCCGTCCACCGTCAGAAAAACATACGCCCGAGATACGATACTAGAACAATAGGCACAGGCAGATTGAAATTCACCACCAAAGAAAATTGACTACCGAGCCATTATTAGAAGTGGACCTGCAGATGGAGTGTCTATAGAAGGCGGCGAAATCTTGAAACCAGAGAAGATATATGTACATTATCATCTTGCAAAAAAAAGTACTTTTAGAATGTAAACTTCCGGAATAGGACTAGCTTAAGTGCACTGTGAACCAAGTAGCAGTGCACTGTGAACTATGAAACACCTTTAGTGCACCATGCACCAAGTAACAGATGACAGACGGCCATCGAAACGTCGGCTCGTAAAAAATAAATGATTGTGATCAAAGAACTTTGCTATTCTTCCGGAATAGGAGTCTGATGGCTGAGTGTCCGATAGAGCAACAGGCTCCCGACGAGGGAATCGGGTCCACAGTTTCTTCATTAGGCACAGAAAACAGCCCGACTCGACAGAAATGTGAAGAAAGCGAATTAATTAAGATCAACATCAGCGGACTGAAGTTCATGGCCAGGGAGCGTGTCCTCCACCGTTACCCGGAAACACTTCTGGGCGACGTGACCCGCCGGAAGGACTTCTACTGCCCGGATACAGACGACTACTTCTTCGATCGTCACCGACCAAGTTTTGAGGCAATCTTCGATTTTTATCAAACCGGGAAGCTGGTACGTCCTCCTATTGTACCCGTGGACATCTTCTTTGCAGAGTTAAAGTTTTTCGGCATCGATAATCAAGCAATCAACGCGGTGCTTGACAAGGAAGGCTATCGGCAAAAGTCGGAAAGCTGCCCGAAACTTCCCGACGCAGAGCCTAAGAGGACAATATGGCTGTTGTTCGAGTATCCGGAAACGTCCTTCTGGGCTCGGATAGTCGCCATTTTGTCTGTCTGTGCCATTATTATTTCCATAGCCTCTTCGTGTGCGGAAACGATACCGCAGTACCAAGAGGACAAGATTTTCGACTTCCCTCCGAACACCACAAGGTCATCTCGACTCAAGATGGCGTACGGAAGTACGTTCTACCAAGTCGAGACGGCGTGCATCGTCTGGTTCTGTTTCGAACTTCTCGTCCGATTCTACGCGTCCCCGGATAAAGTGGCCTTCATCAAGGACATCATGAACATCATAGACATGATTGCGATCGTGCCGTACTTCCTGACGCTTATATTCCTCCTGGGGAACGTGCAGGGCTCGCGCAGTGCGGCGGTATTCATGCGCGTGCTGCGCCTCATCCGCGTCTCCAGAATCCTCAAGCTCTCCCGGCACATGACGGCGCTGCGAATCCTCGGCAGAACGCTCATTCTCAGCGCGGGAAGCATAGGCCTGCTGTTCCTCTCCCTCTTCGGTTCCATGGTGCTGTTCGGAACGTTCGTCTACTTCGCTGACCTTGACACCCCGAACACGGACTTCGAAAGCGTTCCCGCCACGTTCTGGTGGGCGGTCATCACCATGACAACCGTCGGCTATGGCGACGAGCACCCGCGGAGCCCCATGGGTATGTAACACTGGGGGGATTTATAGGCGCTACCAACTGACCTGGCCGACGGGTCTAGACCTTTTAGCCGAGTGGTTAGAGCGTTGGCGTGTGGACTGGTACCCGGGCGCGCGTGGGTTCGAACCCCGACCCGGGACCAGGTGGTTTTATCTGTTTCTACTCGCTCCTCCTGTTTCCTGCGGTGGTTCCCACACCGGTCCTGGGAGTTCTGGCAAAGAGTGCCGCTCCAGGGATGTCGAATTCGGAAGATTCGAGGGCGAATCTTGAAAAGAAAAGGGGGAGTAGTGTAACAGTGGGGGGTTCATAGGCGCTGCCGACTGATCTGGCCGATGGGTCTGAACCTTTAGCCGAGTAGTTAGAGCGTTGGGGTGTGGGCTGGTGCCCGGGTTTGGGCGTGGGTTCGAACCCTGGCCTGGACCAGGAGGGTTTTTATCTATTTCTACTCGCTCCTCCTTTTTCTTACAGGTAAGCTAGCCGGCGGCGTGTGTGTTCTGTCCGGGATCATGTTCTTGCTGGTTCCCGTGCCTGGAATCGTCGCCAACTTCAATCGACTGTACACCAGGCAGAGGAACGTTTTGTCGCACGACCTTAACACGACACAAGACGAACGAGAAAAGGAAACGAAGTACACCTGGCGCAAATTCGTCGCTCCGCTGAAAAAGAAGAATAAGAGAAGGGCATCGTCTGGAACAGAAGCTAGTTTAGTGTAACAGTTTTCAACAGTTTTTGAACAGTTTATTCATAAAAACCAGCCTCGCAGCCTATACAAAAACATACTGAATAACACTGATTTTGCCTGGCAAATACAAATTACATATACAAACACACGAACAAAAACATTACAAAAAGCCTCACATGGGCACTAAAGCAAAGACCAGAAGAGTCCTACCTTGAAGACTTGTTGTACAGGCGTATTGCCCTGTGTAAGAAAGAGTTCTTCAGTCTTTTCGTACGGGTTGCTGGTAACAACCGTTACGATAAATGCTTTACAAAAGACGCCGTATTGTGATAAAGTAAACACGCAACATACCCCTGTCTGGACTTTCACTATTCATGAATGCCATACATTCTTTTGTACAGCCTGCTTTTAATAAAGGAATGCAACAGCTCCTAATCTTTTTTCTGATTTTTCAACCATTGGAACACATACACCATCGAACGTCTTTAATACAGAGGAACCAAAGACCTTTTATGTCTGTATATATATCATACCATGAAGCGATTCACTACAATTGTATTAAACATTATTGTAGAGAAATTCAGGGACAGCAAAGAGGTATTTGATAGCGTATAGACAGTATGCCTGAAGCACAAATATTCCCATTAAGGTTAGCCTATGTTGAGCATTCAGTCTATCAGGTACCACACCTGAGTGGAGTATAGAAAGTCATATAAGGTGCCTTTTCCAAGAAATCAGACTTGTGGCTGGTCGATCTGGCTTCCACTCGCTTTAGACATTCGACGCCACTACTGGCTATAAGATACAGATATAAAGATGCCCGCCTGTACAAAGGACGACAGGGGCACTGCGGCGCACCCAGAGCCACCATGCACGCCGAACGTCCGAGTACTCGTCAACACCAACCAGGGTAAGTTGCGATATACAGGCGTCCACGCGTATCCAGGATCGTGCCTGTGGCAAATTTACGTTCTTGCGCACTTTTTAATTTTCTGAATCTTAGTCAATTTTTTGGGTTTAAAGGTATTGTTTGTACCTCAGATGTTGAAATTACACTAGGTGTTCATCATAATATCTGTCTCTGCGTCCGTCGCTTTTTCTATGTCCTGACAGTTTTGGCGTCTCCAATCTAAATATGGTCCCTCCGCATTCTAATTACTATGCAGTGAGTAGCTTTTTGTAGAAGATATAAAGTTGTAAAAAGAATGCTGCAACGTATTTTCGACGACTGTATTTGAATTATTTTCTTAAAGTTAAACAAGCTTAGGTACCACAGTACGTTAGACTGACGCAAAATACGCACCTATGTCACGCAAGTTAAGAGATATGAAAGGATTTTATAGAGGCGGGGAACACACTAGACCGAGTGCATAAACCGTACAGAACACAAATAAACAGTCTTGAATTGTTAGATTGTTTAACCAAAGCTGTTTTACATTGTCACTTTGTGCTAACAGTGATCGCTACATGTAGTTTTCATAATGCTGTTCGGATAACGCTTGGCATTGCTTCTTGCCTTATGGCTTCCTATAGAATAATTCTAAATTGAGAGCAGCAAACAATGCATTTTTTTCTATCAGTCAAAGTGTTGAAAGAAAACAGCGAAACATAGAAAACATTACGACGACACAAATCATGTATCAGTGCTAAGAATGAAGACAAAATAAACAAACACCAACAGAGAGAGATTTAAAAAAATGCCATGTTGCAACAACAGGTAGCCGAAACGAGAATCCAAGCAACGCGCAATCTCGCGAGAACCACGTGATCAGGATGAACGTGAGCGGGATGCACTTTTACACACGCGAGAGCATCTTGAGCAAATATCCCCACACCCTTCTCGGAGACGTCTCGAGACGACAGGAATTCTACTTCAAAGATTCAGACGAGTTTTTCTTCGACCGACATCGCCCGAGCTTCGAGGCGATTCTGTTCTACTATCAGGTATTTTAATTTATTGTATTGTTATTTTTATTAGGAGTAAAATTAATTTGGATATACGCCAAAAAGCACATACTCAAGCAACTGGATATGATTTTGGAAAATCATATCAAGTTACTCGAGTAACTCCTTTTTGGCGTATCTTATAACCTGGACGTCTAGTCTTCACCGACGTATCTTAATTAAACTTTAACGTAGATTATTGTAAGATATTGTATTTCTTTTGTATTAAATTAATATTGTATTGCTATATGCATTAAAGCGTAGACAAGGACGATTTGTATATGATTTTGTATTACTACTAATGGATATTCTAACTGCAAAATAACCAACCAGACCGGAATCATGATGAGGCCTGAGGAAGTCCCAATGGACGTGTTCGTTATGGAGCTGCATTTCTTCGACATGGGAGAGAACGTCATCACAGAGCTACTGATAAAGGTACATGCTGTATCCAAAACCGTGCTTTATCCAGAACCGTACTGTATCCAGAACCGTGCTTTATCCAGAGCCATGCTCAGGCACGGTTCTGGATAAGAGCCATGCTTTATCCAGAACCGTGCTGTATCCAGAACCATGCTCGGGCACGGTTCTGGATAGGCACGGTTCTGGATAGTCAGCGTATATCCAGAACCGTGCTTTATCCAGAACCATGCTCTGACACGGTTTTGGATACTAGTAGTCCACGTGTATCCAGAACCGTGCTTTATCTAGAGCCATGCTCGGGCACGGTTCTAGATAGTCTATGTGTATCCAGGACCGTGCTTTATCCAGAACCATGTTCAGGCACGGTTCTAGATAGTCCACTTGTATCCAGGACCGTTCCTGGGGCAACTCTGCGTTCCGAGTGGATACGCGAAGACTATCCAGAACCGTGTCTGACTACAACCCTATCCAACTCAGGCATAGAGCTAGATAGAATCGGTTCTAAATATGATAATATCCGGCGACTTTATATGACGTATCACATTGCATATTTTCTTTTTTGTTGACATTATATTATCTTATTTGTAACTTATACTTAAAGTTAGCAGGGACGTTGCTGTGTGATAACATTATGAACAACATTTCATTCAGTCATCCGATTCCTCATTCATTCATTCACTCACTCACTCATTCATTCATTCATTTATTCATTTAAGGAGGGTTGCTTCGTACCAAATGAAGAGAAGTTACCACAAACCAGAACGAAGCGTGTCATCTGGGATCTCTTCGAGCGGCCTGAAACGTCCGCCCGGGCCAAACTCATCACAACCGTGTCTTCTCTTCTCATTCTGCTGTCTGTTACAGCGTCGTGCGTGGAAACGCTTCCGCAATTCCATATCGCACACGATAAGGTTTTTTCAAAACTTTTCAAATTGTATTTCAGTTAGACAATACACAGATACATACAAATAAAAAAGAAATACCAAACAGGAACAGCTGCAACTAAATCCTAGATTTAACAATCAATGACATGCTGATATACTGTAATGGATACATCATAAGTGGTTAAACATACTATAGGCTAAGGTAACGATACAAATGTTATTAAATCGTAAGAGGAAAGAAACAGAACAAAAATTTCAAGTCAATTAACTAGAACAATAACAATCTCAGGTTAAGTACAGACATTAGTTCAAAGCGATAATACAAAATATTCTACACCAAGTAACAAGGCATACAATATAAAACTTACAAACAAAGCATTCATTCAATCTTTCCACACACGAGAGGGTGTAGAATTTGTCTTACATACAATAATGTAATACTCTTGTAGATTGTTGAGTCACCTTATATGTTGCTGCAATGTCAGCAAGGCAAGCCATTTGTAATAGCCACTGGCTAGTTGGACTGCCCTGGCTGTGAGGGTTGAACAGCCAAACCAACAAATAAAAAACCAAAAATAAACAAATATTTCACACATGGACAGGCAAACACAACGTCCGGAAGTGCAAACAGCGCCGCCAACCGTGTAGCGGTCGTCTTTCAGAACCCTTTCGTCTGCATCGAGACCGTCTGTGTCGTCTGGTTCGTCGCTGAACTTGGCCTTCGCTTCTACGCGTGCCCGAGTAAAGTACAGGTTTGTGGTTTTATGGTGGAAAACCTCTCCTTAGCTGCCCACCCAAGGGTGACAGCTATTCTTCCAGGAGAGAACTTAAAACATTACAATACATCAACATACAATTAAATACAGCTACTTTACATATAGTTATAAGAGACAAATGTGTAAATCGAATGTGCTTTATTGAGGATATTCGTAAAAGAAGGCTGAGGTGATTTGGTCACGTTCAGAGAAGACCCCCAGACACCAAAAAAAAAGATGGCGGGACCAGATATAGTACATGACACAGGATGGTCTCTCAAGTTTGCTAAACAAAAGGCTAAGGACTGTGCTGCCTGGCGGGAAAAAAATGAAGAGGACTAAGGGGCCAGTTCTGGCCGCAAAGCATTTAGGCAGGCAGGCATGTGCTTTACTTATTCATGTCTCTCATGTACTTCTATGCCTAGTTTGAACGTCTTATGTTTGTACAGTTCTGTAAGAGCGCGCTGAACGTGATTGACCTGGTGGCCATCACGCCGTACTTCGTCACGTTGGTCCTGCTGCTGACGGAGATGTCAGACGAACAGGCGGCGCTGTCTCTCGGCGCGCTGCGGATCTTACGGCTGGTCCGGGTCCTGCGGATCCTACAGCTCACAAAACACGTCAAGGCCATGCGGCTGCTCTCGGTAAGAGTTTACTCTCCAAGCAGAGGTTTGGTTTGGCTTTTTTGGCGTGTTTTTTAATGCTTTTTTGCACTGGTATGGTCCGGGTTCTACACATCCTACAGCTCACGAAACACGTCAAGGCCACGCGGCTGCTCTCGGTATGATCTAACACTAAAATGATAATTTTGTCAAATGACTGTAGCTGATACCCTATGGTGTTGGGAGACATTATGTAGCAAGTTGCAGGACAGAGTTGGGGAAAGGATTGGGGGGGGGGTCATCATATGACTGTTTGAGAAATGATACACAAATTGAGTAGTTTGTTAGGCTAGATCATTTGAAGGTTAAGAATATAAATTACATGTATTTTCCCCTTATATTTAGCCTGTTAGGTCATTATGTTTAAAAAGCTTATTAAATAATAATAATTATTATTATCAACCATATGCAGATAACAGTTTACGACAGTCGCTTCTC